CTCCTTTGTGTTTAGAACAATATATACTAATTTTTAAAGTATCAAATTTGAATTTTTGTTCAATAAAAATCTTTCAAATGCGACTGTAGTTTTTTTTCCCCAAAAAACTTTGTCTTGAAAATAAGGGTGCGTCTTATATTCCGAAAAGCCTATACATTTCTATAATCGATAAACATGTAGATTTGATTTATAGGTTTGTTCTCTCTTGGCAACCAGTTCTTTCATTCCGAATATCTAGATTACATTTAAATTGTTTAACTATTATTACTACCTGTGGTGACCATATTTCTACTCTTTTGCAAGTTTTAACTTAACATACATTTAAACAATTATAATTGTTAAATTTTCTTGTATCTATTTTAGTACTCTACTAAGCAATGAAGTAAGACTAACATATATTACAAATTTTAATTTTCAATCACACGTTGATATGGTTATTTTATCTTCCAGATCTGAAGTCATCTATATTTTTCATTACAACCTTTGGACGGGGATAACAAAAATCACATCATTTAAGTTAACATAACGATCGGGTCAATAACCCAGTTTCTGGAATCTCCGTCCCATACCAATTACATCCAGACACTGCTCCCCCTTTTTTTAATTGTCCTGCAATGTGTTACAATACGTAATTTTTCTTTAATAATTAGTGCGAATTTATAACATGACTAGACACCGTATATTTCCTAATGAAGTACCGTGTTGGACTTCTGTTCAAACAAACTAGGAATGATTGTGTACTTATAATGACTGTATAATATTGAGAACATCATAAAATTTCTAGAGATATTTTAATTTTTTAATTCTTCACCGGCAAGTACCTGTTTTACTAAACGACCAGTACGTGCAAAATGTTTATTTTTATATTTTTTTACATAAAGCACGCATAGACAGTAATGTAAAGTTTAAATATTAATAACAACATTACCTGAAAAACCAACAACTGTCGTTAGGTGCTGAGTAAAATTACAGACGAAGAATAACGATTGTTTTCTGCGATCCTATAATTTGCAATATTATCAATATTTTCACTAATTTCAGAACTGTCGAGGCTATTTATGAGTCAGGCCTAACCGGATCCCATTGCACATTGGCCACTCTAGCACTATGTCAGATTCTATGGCTTGTTTCCATCCCTTGCAAAAAACATCTCACTCTTAGTATAATATGAAAAGCCTCCATTTATAAGTTATTATAATTTATTTTTTGACTGACCCAACTTTAATCATAATGCAGCTATAAAAGACCAAGCTCTCTATGGTCGACTTCGGACTACCACCTTCAAACAATGGAAGCAAACAAATTCGACTTCGAGGTCAGGTTTCACCACTACTAGTAAATGTCCAGTTTTCTTCTCGCTAAACTTCAGCAGCTCTAATTTTATCTCGATATCAGTTCCAATGATAGTCTTCTATTACCAGTAATATATGTGCAATTTCATGAACTTGGAGATACAATTTCAGTGCTAATTTAGACACACACATTCTTTTATTACAAGTTCGGCCCAGACCTCAACTTTACATTTTTAAAACACACTCCACAGAATAAAAATTGAGATATCAGTTTTCTGCGATAAAAAATACAACTATTTGGCGTTTGCTAGCCGACCTGAAAGCCCAGAAAACCCACGTGAAGAGTGACACACCAGTTACTTTCAAACAGGTCCAAGAAATTTAAACATTACTGACTCACTAGTGATTAAGGTACAAAAAGTACAAGTTAGAACTTATGCAAGCGACCATTTAATTGGTTAAAAGTTATTTTAAAGTAAAATCACAAAGATTTGATATTTATAAATAAACTGAGTTAAACTTACTTTGAGTTTGAAGTTCTACGTCAGTTGTAAAACCTCCAGAAAGTTTATAAAGTAGCATAAACACGTACTGTCTTCCACACGGTAATCAACGTCAACAACCTCGTAACCAACTACTTGTCACCCACCCAGTTCACGTTCAAATAATTTATAACTTATCACCAATCTTAGCGCCATCTCTTGTAGGCTACTGAAGTAAATATTTATTTTTATAACATCCGATATTACTGTAATTCATAATTGTTTGTTTGTTTGTTTTTTGAATTTCGCGCAAAGCTACACGAAGGCTATCTGCGCTAGCCATCCCTAATTTAGCAGTGTAAGACTAGAGGGAAGGCAGCTAGTCATCACCACCCACCGCCAACTCTGGGGCTACTCTTTTACCAACGAATAGTGGGATTGACTGCCACATTATAACGCCCCCACGGCTGAAAGGGCGAGCATGTTTGGTGTGACAGGGATTCGAACCCGCGACCCGCAGATTGCGAGTCGAGTGCCCTAACCACCTGGCCATGCCGGGCCAATTCATAATTTGTCTGAGCGTGTCTCTTCACGGTGTTATTGTAGTGTCTACAAACGGTCAAGTAAGAACAAGAGATGAGCATTTCCTTCCTCAACTTTTAGAATTCGTCTTAGTGTGTTGGAACTTTGCACCTGGAAAGACAGTTCTAAATCAATACCACCAACTTTTGGGCTCTTTTACCAATGAATAGTGGGATTGACCGTAACATTATATCGTCCCCACAGCTGAAAGGGCGAGGATGTTCGGGGATAGGATTCAAACGTGCGACCCACAGATTGAGAGTCGAGTGCCCTAACCACCAAACCATACCAGGCCCCGGCAAAAGATTTAGCTATAAAGACATCGCGTAATATTTTATTTTGAGGCGCTCGAACAGTATAGGAAGCCACACAATAAATTGTTGTTATTAATACAAATAAAGTTAGCCACTTAGAAACAATTTAAAAAAAAAAAAAAAACTAAATCCTATTTTAAGAAATACTTATTGAATTAAATTTTATTAAAAATAGAGAAAAGATTGTTTGAAAAATGTAGTCACTTAAAACAGATACGTATTTGCACGGCTTGTTTTTATTGACCATATCCTCGATTTACTTCTTCCAACTTAAATTAGGAAAATTAACATTTTTCGATTTTATGGCCATATTTGCCATTAAGTTCACAAACAGTTAATTTCCTGCTTGTTTCTTTTCTTCTTGTACAACTAAAAATCCAGTTCATTAAACGATAAGGACATGATTTGGCCTTTTCATAGAGCTCTGACATT